GGAGTGCAGTGGTACAATCTTGACTCACTGCAACCTCCGCCTCCCGGGCTCGAGTGGTTCTCCTGTCTCAGCCTCCCGAGTATCTGAGATTACAGCTACCTGCCATGACGCCCGGCTAATTTTTGTATTTTTAGTAGAGATGTGGTTTTACCATGTTGGCCAGGCTGGTCTCAATCTCTTGACCTCAGCTGATCCGCCCACCTTGGCTTCCCAAAGTGCTGGGATTACAGGCGTGAGCCACCGCACCCGGCTTTATTTATTTATTCTATAATATACAAGTATTACACACAAGTATATTCACTTACGTAGTCTCTCCTGTGTAGATACTATACTATAAATCACCACTTATAAATTATTTACTCTTACTACCACAGAAGGGAAAGCAGGGAGAGTAGGTTCATGCTTTCGCTCATTCATTCACTATGCATCTTTATCAAGCCCCTGGGGAGAGAGCAGCCTCAGCTGAGGAGAGGCTGAGTGCCACTCAGTGAACGATGGCTGGCAGAGTTCCCACAGCTGGTGCTGGAATGCCAGGCTCGGTCCGTGTGGACAAAATGCCTCTGAGTGCCTGACACAGCCAGCCATGCTGTCAGTGGAACAGAGCTCAGAGACGGGCAGGGACTTGCCGAGGTCACTCAGGGCCTGGGTTTGGAGCCACATGTCACACCCAGGTCTGGGCACAGTCCCCTGGAGACTCCTTAAATCAGGGTGCCTGGGACTCTGCATTCGAAAGCCTCCTCGGGACAGCAGTCTGCACTGGGGAAACACAGAGGGAACTCCAGTTGCAGAGAAGAACAGGTGAGGAGAACTCCAACCTCCCCACCGAGTCTCCAAAATTCAGGCACCCAGCAAGGAGCCAGGAGCTCTGCCCAGTCCCATGGATGGCCCAGCTTGCTGACCACACAGTGAAAATCAGGCCCCGTGTCCCATGCTGAATAAGCCCCTCCACCCCTTGAGTGCCCCCACCCCAGCCCAGCTGCTCTCCCATCCCCGGTCCGGATGCTGGCACATGCCCCCTGCCACCCACCCTCGTATCACTCTCTAGACACTCCCTGGACTTTCCCCCGACTCCCCCGACTGCAGACTCCCCGTCATCCTTACCACCCTCACGGGACAGGGCAGCTGCTTGCACCTCACAAGGAGGGGGAAGGAGAGAGCTTCGTGAGACACCCCACACCCTGGTGGGGTGATGAGAAGGGAGACGCTTTGACCTGGTGTAAGTTTTCCATGGGGGAGGAGAGGCAGCTCTGAATTTGGAGGAGAGGCTCCTCCTCCTTGAAGCCCTGGTGTGAACCTGTGACCTCGAGCCTGCACGCAGACCCTGCGCTGCTGTCGCCACAAAGGTACAGCTTCATCTTGACCAGCGAGGGTGCCCGGCCGGTCATTCTCCCCATCTCCCAGGGGAGCAAACTGAGCTCCAGAGCTGCAGTCATGTGGCCAATGGCCACGGGACACTCCAGGGACGGAGCCCACCATGCCAGGGCTTTGGATGGCACAGTCGGTGGTCTCTCCAAGGTGCCTGTGGTGGGCCCCCTTCAACACCTCTGTTTGGTGTCCCTAGTATCCCCCTGCCCCCACCAGGCTGCAGCTATATTTGGCTTGAAGACCCTTAAATTCTGATCTGGGGACAAAGGACTCAGCAGTTCGCCCATAGGAACGAGGGAGGGTAGGGCACAGGAAGTTACCTCCTTGGGATGCTCCTGCCTGGCCCCCACTGCACCCCAGTGTTCAGATCTGAGTGGCCAGCCCCTGCTCCAGCAAAGCCTCTGGACATGCCCCATCCAGGACATCAGAGTGAGGGATGGGATAGCAAGGCCGGGCTGCCGTTGGGGGAATACAACCATCCCCATGAGAGACGTCACCGGCCCCTCAGAAGGTTTGGGAGGGAGGCTGGGAAGGAGGGGCTTAAAGAGATTAAGTTCGACAGGTGCCACAGTGTCAGGGAATAGCCCAGCTCTCAGTGACCAAACCCGAACCCCATCCCCCAGCAGGGCCCGGTCACCCCATTCCTGGGCCAATGGTGCCATCCTATGGCCAGATTCCTCCCTAGCAGCCTCAAAGCCTGCCATTCCGGCCCTATTCAAATCACATCGTTCCACTGCAGTCATCATTTCACTACGTATATCAAAACACCACGCTGTATGCCTTCAGTGTAGACCAGACAAACAATAAGTAAATTTTTTAAAGAATTTTTCAATCCATAATTCCAAGGTCCAAGGCAGTCCTGAGATAATGTTACCCCACATCAGGAGCCCATTTCACAGATGGGCAAACAGGCTCAGAAAGCATCAGCCAAGATGCAGCAAAGGGTGAACGGGGACAGCAGGAACTTCAGAGTCCCACAGCCTCGGCCTCAAATCCCAGCTCCTCTGCGGCATGACTCAGGTGAGTCTCTTCCCGTCGCCAAGCCTATGTGCCTTCTGTAAAATGGGGCTGATAACCATGCTGACTCCACCTGGTGCTTGTGAACTGTTAAGTAGCACGCAAGCCTTTGCCTTCGTGATTGTGAAGGAAGGTCCACCTGTCTGACTCCAGGCCCCACCCCGCACCGCACACTAGATCAGATTCAAGTTGGAAACCACAGGCCTGCGCCACATTCGCAATGGGCTCCCCCAGGGCCAAGGCCAGGGCACCCACCCCACCTGTCTCCCAGTACAGCCTCATTTTATGTTCTTCAGCACTTCTGTGTCTGCAGCGCCCCCACACTTCATTTGCCCCCTCCTTCGTAGTCAGGCTCCTGTGAGAAAGTAGGGCCGTGATTGCAGAAATAGACACCCTGCTCATGGCTGGGGCCCTGGGGCCTGAGCCGGTGCCGGGCACAAAGCAGGTGCTCAGTAAATCACTGCTGGATGAGTAAAGCAATGAATGATTTACTCTTGGTCCCCCTCAAATGCAATTATGCCGTTGTTCCTTTTTAACATCAAATCCACCTGTCAATGCACAGCTGCACTAGGTCAGCTCAGTGAGCGCTGTAGCTGAGAGCAACTGACTCAGGAGTCTGTGAGATCACATTTAGTCCCAGCTCTACGGCTGACTAGAAGGGGCACAGTGACATGCTACTGAAACCTTCCATGCCTCAGCGTCTCCATCTGTAAAATGGAATTATAAAGAGTAAGCCCTTCATAGGATTACCGTGAGCATTAATCAAATCGAGGTCCAGTCCATGAAAAGTGCCCAAAGCAGTGTCTGGCACATGGTAGGTGTTCAATAAACACTGGCCCCTTATTACTGCTAGCTGCTTTTGGCCTTGATATCTCCAACTCTCTCCAGGGTCTTCCCCCATTTGTGTCTCATCCTGGCCCTGGCCCTCTAGCCCTTCCCCCATCATAATCACAGAGCAGGGGGAGCTCACGGCAGAAGACGAAGTTCAGCCTCTGAAGCCCAACCATCCTCCACTCAAATCCCATTTGAACAGCTTCTTGCTGTGCAGTTCGGGACAATTTATCTGACCTCTCTGAACTTGTTACTCCTCAGTGAGCAAGAACAGCGAAGTGCACCCAGCACAATATTTGCCATCAATAAAGGGAGGCTGTCGTTTTATTACCGTCATTGCTCAGGTGTTCCGGTCCCATCTGTTGTGTTAAATAGACCGGAAGCCTCTTGAGATCGGGGACATCATCTAGCTGATCACTGTCTCCCCGTTGTCAGCACCTGGCTTGTGCCCTGAACACAGCAGGTGCTCAGGAAGCATTCGGAGAATTCAAAAACCGCCCGAGGCTTCTCAATGTGACTTCCCTGGCAAAGCCTGGGATTCTTGGAGCACCATGGGGCGTGCAAGACCCAAGTGGAGAGATTTCTATACCCCTCCTACCCTGGTCCTCACCCTGTTTCACAGCCTAGAAAGTGCCACCCTTTCAGGACCTCCATCTCTGGGAGTTCTACCTTCCACAAGTGACTTTAGCTCTCTGTGCCCGTCTCTCCATCTCCGCAATGGGAGTTATCAATGACAACCTCATATAGTTCTACGTTTCTAGAATGCGGCCTTGTGAGATCACAGTGAGAAATGGGATGGAAATATGCAGCAGCCAGATCATACAGTACCTAAGGTGTCAGGCTAAGTTTGAATTGTATCTAGAAGGCAGTAGGGAGCCAAAGAAGGTTCTTGAGCAGGGGTGTGACCTGATCAGCGGGGCACCATAGGATCATCGCACTGGTCTCAGTGTGCAGAATGGACTAAAGAGCAAGAGCCCAAAGGCAGGAAGGCCAGTTAGCCAGTGATGGCCCCAGCCTGCAGAGAAAGGAACAGGACCCCCTTTCACCATGATGAGCCTGAACTTCAGAGAGGCCGGTGTTTTGGAAAGAGCCCTGATTCGGGAGGCAGAGATTTCACGGTTTAAATCTCAGCCCAGCAGCTTTCTGTCCATGTGACACTTTGCATCTGGCAGCCCTGATGTCCCCGTCTGCGAAACAAGTTTATTAAAAGGATCACTGAGAAGTTCGAACTGAAAATTGTGTATTTATCACCCGGGACACAGTGATCATCCAAAAACAATAACTCAGTAGGTGACCCAAACTTGATTCTGACCCCAAATACTCCAAGGCTGCCACACCCCCATGAGCAGAGTGGTCCCCTCCCCTTGTCAGCATACCTTGATGCAAACCAGGGTTGAGGAGCAGGACACCCCCGCCCCCTGCCAGCCTCACAGGCGTCTCTGAAGAGGACACAGGCCCAGCCTCAGCTGTCAGGAAGCCCTGAGCAGCTCCTGTCTTCTCCTGGATTGGTTGCATTCACATCTGGAACAGATGGGGCATTAGAACTCTCCACCCCCACCCCCTTTTTTCAAAGATCACTGGTCCAGGAGAAAACCACGTAATTAAAAGAGGAGAAATGCAAAACAATCCCCTTAGCAGAATTCACCATCTTCTCTCCTTTGTAAATCCATTAATGAACTGTAATTACAAAGACAAACCCGTTATTGAAACCTGGTAACCAATGCACTAAGGGGCTGAGAGACTCCCATTGTAGCCCAAGGCCTGAGGAAAGAAAAGAACAATCCTAATTAGTTTAGTCCTATTTATACAAAATTCAAAAAAGAACAAAATTATAGGTTACAAAGTAACGTGCCATCTGTCAGTAGACCACAGCTGCCCTAGGGAGATGCCAATTTTCTTTCTGTCTGGGATTCATTTAAAACCTTCTGTAAATCAGACCTAGAGCAGAGAGAGACGTGGGAAGTCCATGGACAGGACAGATTTCATGAGGACCTGGAGTAGCCGTGGGAGAACACTGATGAGTTAAGGGCAAGAGTTTGGGTTGGAAAGACCCCAAGAAGCTGGTCCCTGCCTTCCTCGGAGCCTGGTGACAAGATCCTGCCAGCTACACCATTCACCGGGCAGGGAAGAACGAGGTCCTATTCCCGGACAGGGCTTCCACCCCATCTCTCACTCCACTCATCAGGGACATCCGCTGCTTCTGCCCACCAGCTCCCAGGCGATGGTATCGGCTAACGACCCCCTCCTCCTCCTTGGAGAAACACTGCTGAGCCTTTTCCGTCCACGTCAGCTCACCTACCTCTCCCTCGACCCACCTGTGTGGTGAGGAGGGGGGTGGATAATCTCAGAAGAAAGGAAGGATGGGCAAAGTAATTACTTCTTGGGTAGCTATGACAAGGAACCTCCTTGGGCAGCAGAAAAACTCCTATCCCAGGGACAGGCACAGAGAAAGGGTTTGGTGAACCACACAGGAGGTGGAGTGCGGTCACGGGGGAGAGTGTGGCTGTGTCCTGGTTAAATCACTCAGCTGTCGTTGTGCTGTTGTGCGGATGTGGCTCTTGGGTACTGTCGGTGGTGTTATTCTGCCTCTTTGAACTGCCTCTGCAGAGGATCTTTCGGTGTGTTCTGAGCTTCTTGTAAACGCCTTTTAGACATGCTCTCAAGCGTGAAACTAGTAGTAACACTACAAATGCTCTATTAAACAAGGGTAGGTTCACAAAATCACCAGAGCTCCCCTTCTGAGAAGCCAGAGATGGAGATTCCGGAGGGGCACCAGTCCAGAGGGGCCTGGGAGAGGTGGCTGAGATCTCACAGTATGACCTGCAGACTCCAAGTAGGGCTGGAGGAAGGGAACATGGGGCCGGGAGTCTTTCCTTTGTGTGGTTTCTGAGGTGGGGCTGCTGCCGTCTGTGTTGGGGGTTTTGGGTTTGGGGTGAAGCCGCCAATAGACAGGAAACAAACAGAACTCCAACAGGGTATGCTGGGGCGGGAGTGGAGAGGCACCTAGGGCAGCCCAAGCCCAGGCTGGAGCCCTTCCCATCAGCTCACTCACACTGTCACCCCATGGGCTCCCAGGTACCAAGAGGAGGCACAAGGCCCTGGTACAACCTAAACCCACGCTCTTTTCCTCTAGCTGGGGTGGGGTGACATGAGCACACTGCTCAACTCAAAGTCCCCTGTAGGCAGGGACTATGTCTGTCTCATACACCACCATCCTCCCCACTGCTCTGGAAGTACATGGTACCTGAATGAATGAGTGAATGAATGAATGAATGAACAAATGAGTCCTATCTGATGTCACCGCCCTTCTTCCCTGATGCCTTTTTCTTTTGATGTTCTTCGGTCCTAGATTCAAGTCCTGTCTCTCCAACTGACCCACTGCTGAGCAAGTCATTTCATCATTCAGACTCTCAGCTTTCCCATTTGTAATGCGGATGATTTGAGCTTTTTCTGGGTAGGGTTACTGGGAAGTGAAATAAATTCGTAACCGGAAAGTCAGGACAAACATCACCGGTTTTGCTGTGGTTGCTGTCATCACCATCTCCACCACTGTTGCCATCCTTCCAGCCATCCCCTCCCGCAGCATCTTCATCCATCCTTTTCCCTGGTCCCCAAATAACCACACTGCCTCTAGCCCCATTCAGTGCTTAAGTTAAATCACATTTCATTGTTTCTCATCAGAGAACAGAGAAATCAGTAAAGAAATTCACAGCACTCAGAGTCAACAAAGGGTTAACTAAAAAAAATGGGAATATATTAAGCTTTTGATTGGAAAAAATGCAAACGCAGTCCCTCTCACACTCACCCCTGCATTATCACTCTCACACTCACATTCTGGCTTCTGGACTCATGCCCCCCCTCAGGCACACACCCACATGCACACACAGGTGCTCCCAGATGCCATCACACACTCCCAATAGGCACACCCAGACACACTCCCTCCCACTCCCAGGCTGGCCTCCCTCACTAAAGTGGCAAAGCTACAGGGAAGCTACAGGGCACACGCACAGGACGCTTGGAGCCACACTTGAGGTGAGGAGATGGAGAGGCTGCGGTGGCGACAGGCAGCCTTAGACGACTGTGTTCTCCAGAATGGCCAGCCGCTTACTGACAGCTTCCAGTGGACTCAGAGTTAAGGAGAGGTGCCTGGTGGCCAGAGCAGGGCGGGGATGGGTGTGGCCCTGCACTCAGGCCGCTGCTTCCTGTTCCCTTTCGACACCCCACCACAGTGTGCGTTCTCCCCTCTGTCAGAACTTACCCATCCACTGTCCTCAGAATGGTGCTTTCCAAAAAACGTAGCCAGTCACTGTGAGCCCTGAGTGCCCAGCCCTGCTCAGTTGCAGGTTTAGCCCTGCTGGGTCCCCCACCAGGTCCTGGCTGAGCCAAGGGAACCGCCTGGGGCTCAGCCCCACCTCTGAGTGGGTACTGGGGTCAGGCACATCACCATGAGCCTGAGAAATGGGGCATCCACAGGCTCCATGTTCTTCAGAGCGTGTCCAGGACTCTGGTGTATGTCCAGTCCCCAGATCGTGACTTCTGCCTCAATTTCTCTGTTTACCTACTGGGAGTCTCTGCTTTTGACAGGGTCTGCCCCAAGCTAGTTTCAGCCTATTCTGCCAGAATGCAGCCCATCAGCAGGAGGCAGGCCAAGAGAAGCCTGCCCAACCAACCACACATGCCCCCCACGCCCCCAACACTGGCCTGCACCCCTCCCCGGCCCCAGCCACCTCTGGGAAGGGATATGTTTCCTGGTCAGGGCCTGCAGCAGCCCCTCCACTTTGGCCTGGAATTTCACCAAGGACTCGCAGGCACACGGGTCTTCCTCTGCAGGAGACAGGGAAGTGGAAAGAGAGAGGAAATGTTGAGTGGTGGCCGGGGAAGAGGGAGGGGAGACTATCACTGCCCAGGGCCAGGACTCAGGAGTCTTGGAAGAGTGAGGGGCTTAGGCGACCTGAGGAGGCAGGAAGACATAGATAGTCCTTGAGACATCACCCTAAGGAGTGATGCAGGGGTGAGCCCTGAACGTCTTCCTGGTCCCTTGGAGCCCTGAGAGTGAACTACAAGTGCCTCCCTGTACCTGCTACATGAAGAACACCATTAGGGGCCTTGATGTCACCTCAGTGACTTCACCCCAACCCTTTGGGTTTGAAGTCATTAATCTCATTTTACAAGTGAAGAATCCAAGAAGTGAAACAACTTGCCCACGGCCAACAGTGTCAGAGCAAAGACACAGGCCCAGGCATGTCTGGCTCTGAAGCCCATACTCCTTACCACTAGGAACCAGCTGGTGAGGTCACCAGAGAAGACCAGAAAGGCAGTAGGGCTCAAGTCCTGGCTCTCCCAGCTACTAACAGTTGTTCCACCCCTTTGGCCTTGTTTATCCCATCTGTCAAATGGGGATAATGACATTCTTACCAAATAGAATTGGATGATGTCATATCCAGAGAGCACCGAGAACAGTGCCAGCCACGTAATGGGCATTCAGCATGTTTGCTGGTAGTAAGAACTGTACTCGCCAGCCCACCTTCTGGTTCTGCCAACTCTTGGTGCCACCTCAGCCCCTGCTTTTCCCCACCCACACCCAGTTCCAGGATAGCTCCACCTACACAGTACCCCACCTGCCCTTTCCACCAATGCCAGCCCTGGCCTCACTCACCCACACAGATCTTCTTCTGCAACTTCTTGCCTATCTGGTTGATGGTCTTGAAGTCGGCCGTGTAGAAGTAGTGCTCTGCCACGGGCTCTGAGGCGATTTCCCTCAGCTCATCCTCCACGGCGTTGCCCACTCCCACAGCAAACATCTTAAAGCCTGCCGGGAGGAACAAGACAAGTAAGGCTGGATGTGGGGATGGGCAGCCATGTGGCTGAGCCTCCCAGGGAATGCTTGGGCAGCCAACACCACACACCTCCTGCTGGCAGCTGCTGGAATTGCAAGCACAATGCCTGGAACAAGAACGATGAGGAAATCAACATTTACTGAGGTTCTACTCTTTGTTAGACCCTGTACAGACTTCCTGTACTGGAAGCTTTGTAGAGCAAGCTTTATTTAACCCTAATAACCATCCATCTGGTGGTTATTTTTTTCCTCATTTAATAGGTGGCAAAACTGAAGCTCAGGCTTATTCCAAAGTAGAGTTGCCTTCCAATGGTTGATGTGTTCTTGGGAATATCCAGCTGGAAAAATTCCAAGCCTCACTTACAAACGGACCATCAAAACAACCCACTTTACCTTTCTGGGGCCTCAATTTTGTCATGGGCATAAGAGAGAACTGAACTAACTAATCCTCCTCATTCAAACTCACCTGGGTTTAGGGCACTAATCAGAAGACACCAAGATAAACTACGGGCTACCCCGGCCATGTGTGTACCCCTGTGTGTACCCCTGACCATGAGTGGTGTCCAGGGTCCAGGAAGGCAGCACCTACCAAGGTCCTTGGCCTTCTTGGCAGCATCATTAATGTAGTCCTGGCTCCGGCCATCAGTGAAGACAATGCCCACCTTCTGGGCCCCAGGCCTAGCCCCACTGGACACAGTGAAGGAATTGTCAATGAGGTACTTGAGAGCAGCCCCGGTCATGGTGCCCTTCTCCATGTAGGACATATTCCGCACAGCTGCCTTGATGTCCTTCTTGGTGTGGAAGCGACCCAGGGGGAACTCCTGGCGCACAGAGCTTGAGTACTGGACCAGCCCCACCTGGGCCAGCTTGTCTGACACGTCCAGCGTATCCACGATCTGATTGATGAACTTCTTCACCAGCTCAAAGTTCTCTGGCCGCACACTCTTGGATCCATCGATGAGGAAGACCAGGTCAGTGGCCGAGCTGCCACCACCGCCACTGCACACTGGGGAGGGCAGGAAGGCAAACGGATGAAGCTGAAGGACATAGTCATCCATCCTGCTCCCCAGCTGGGCACCCACCACACACCAAGCTCTATGCTGAGGATCATTCCATTTTGCCCTCAGAACTGCCTCTATAAAGCCAAGGTGACGGTTCCACTTTACAGTATTGGAAACTGAAACTCCAACAGCTGTGAGATCACACAGCTCAGAAGTGGTGGCACCAGGATTTGATTTTGAGACTATGTGAGTCCTTCGACCACATTAAACCCGCCACCCATTGTGTTGAAAACAGGGACAAAAGTCAGGTGAGAACTCTCAAAGGCATCTGTCTCTCACCAGACTCTGAAAGGTATCTGTCTGCTTTGAAGATGGGTTCAGAGGTAAGGTGCAGGGAGGCTCGAATGGGTTCCCTGGGGAGTTGCTGAAACCTCACCACCACCCCTCCACACCCTGCCCAGGGCGAGCCTGCGTCCACTCCACTGACCATTGCAGGTCTTGCCATCGCTGTTCAGAGTGAAGCCCTCGCGGCAGGCACAGGTGTAGGAGCCGGGGGAGCTGATGCACACCTGCTCACAGTCATGGTCCCCCGTGGCACACAGGTCTGACACCACTGCGGGGACAAGGGGTAGCTCAGATCTCACAATCACAGAGCCTTGGGCACTTCAGACAGGGTGTACCTCACTGACTGTGGATACCAGGCCCCAGTTTCCAGACTCAGGGAAACTAAGGCCTCCAACGTCCTGGGGCCCAGGCCCCCGACTCTCAGCCCAGGTCTGGGGTCACTGCACCAGGGCCTAGATCCCTGAAGAAGGTCAAAATGCTGATGATTAAAATTAGAAGTCCCACTAAAAAGGTAAAGGCCAAGGGTCAGGGACTTTAGTCTGTTTAATTCACTCCTGTATCAAGACACCCAAGTGCCTAGAACAGCATACAATGAATACAGCACATATCTGTTAAATATCATACAATGAACGTTACAGTAAGGTGTAACTGGATCTTCGCAATAACAAGCTCAGAGCCCGTGGCAGAGCACTAACGTGCATGCTCTTCTTAGACTCATTTTACAAATGGGTAAAGTCCTTGCCCTGGCCCCGATCCTGTCCTACTGGACACCCGCCCTGCTGAGCCTTCTGCCAGTACCCAGGCCCTTCCAACTCTCCCGCATCACCGAAAACTCTGACACCCAAACCTCCCGACACAGAAACACGTATAGGTTTTCTGGGCGCTCTCTTTCCTGGGTTCCAGGCCTTCCTTGGTCCCTGCGAGGATTCCGCCACATAAAAGAGATCTTAACACCTCCTCTCTTAACAACGCCTCTCCCCAGCTCCCTCAACCTGGGGCTGGAGACCCTCCTCCGTATCAGGCTCCGCCCCAGCTACGGCCACACCCCCGGTTCTGGCACCACCTCAGTCTTATCCAGGTTCTACCCCAATCCACCTAGACCCAGTCCCTAGCCCTGGCCGCGCCCTGATGTTGTCATGTAACGCAGTCCCCGCCTTTTTATAGGCTACCGCCCCGGCTAGGCCCCGCCCTCTGATGCGGCCCCGCCCCCGACGCTGACTTTTTCTGTCTTCACCTCAGCCCTGGCCCCGCCCCTGGCCTTGGCCCGCCTCAGCGGGGACTCTCAGTTTCCGCCCCTGCCATGGCTAAGTTCCAGCTCAGCCCTGGCCCCGCCCTGTCGCTCTCGCCTTCTCCGCCCCTGCCCTGGCCCTACCCTTGCCCCGCCCTGGCGCTAACTCTCTGCGTCTCCGCCTCTGTCTCTGCCCCGCCCCTGCTCCGCTCCGGCACTGACTCTCTCGGTCTCCGCCTCCGCCTCTCTCGGTCTCTGCCTCCGCCTCGGCCCCGCCTCTAGCACTGGCCCCGCCCCTCCGCTCTCCGCGACTCCGCCAATGCCTTGGCCCCACCTTCGCCCCGCCCCGGCGCTGACTCCGTCTCCGCCTCGGCCCGCCCCTGCTCCGCCCCATCACTGATTCTCTCCGCCTCCGACTCCGCCTAGGCCCCGCCCCTGCCCCGCCCCAGTGGCGACTCTCTCCGCCTCCGCCTCTGCCCGCCCCTGCCCCGCCCGGGCGCCGACTCTCTCTGTCTCCGCCCCGCCCCTGCTCCTCCCTGACACTGGCTCTCTCTGTCTCCGCCTCCGCCTGGGCCCCGCCCCTGCCCTGGCCCCACCCCGCCGCGCTCTCTGCCTCCGCCCCTGCCCTGGCTCCGTCCCCGCCTGCCCGCGCACCGCAGAAGGCCTCCTGGAACTTCCTGGACAGCTTCTCGATGATGTTGTAGCTCTCCACGTAGTCGACGTGCTCCTCCTGCGGCTCGCTGGCGATCTGCCGCAGCGTGGCCTTGTCCACGCGGCCCACGCCGATAGCGAACAGCTCGACGCCGCTGGCCCGAGCCCGCGCAGACACGTCCCGCACGCTGTCCTGGGGCCTCCCGTCCGTCACCACGATGACCACCTGCGACACACGGGGCGGTGTGACGCCGGGCCTCTGGGAAGCCCACCGGACTGTCCAGGAGAGGAGGCTACGGCCAGGGGGGCGGAGGGACTGCCGGGGTCGCACAGCCAGGCGGCGCCCCGGGGAAGAGGACCTGGCTGGCCAGAAAGGAGACCCGTTTCCTCTGACAGAGACGTGGCCGAGGGGCTTCCCTTCTGCGTCGCCTCCCTCGAGCAGGCAGTTCCGAGATGCCCGGATGTGATGCCCCATCGCCGAACTGGGCCCTCTAAGGTCAGGGCCATGCCTTCCCCTCAGACTGAGGCCGCTGAGGGCAGGTTCCTTAGACTGATGGCTGTGGGAGCCGTGCCGCGCCCCTCGTGCCCCCGAGAGGCCAGGCGGAGAGTCCCCTGGCTGTACTCGGTGTAGTTCTGCGGGCCCCACGTGGTGCAGTTCTGCGCTTTGACCACCAGATGGCAGCAGATGCTAAGGGATGGGGCCGCCGCCCCCCCGTTGCGCTGTCCTTGTGCCTCGAAGCCCCAGGACCCTGGACCCAGGACCAGACGGAGCGCCACTCCCACTGGATGCCCAAAGGACCAACCCAAGGAATATGCGCCCTTTTCCTCCTCCACTCCCCAGGATGATGCATGCCCCTTCAGAGAGGGAAAGAATCTGCCTGTTCTCCTCCCACTAGACTCCTCTGGTCTCTAACCTGGATAGAGAGAGAGGCGGGGTACTCTGACGCTGAGACCCAGCTTCGTGACCCCCTGCCTGCACCCGCCCTGAAGCTGAATGCTCCTAGCTCTGCCCAGTCTTAGGCACCCAGCCCTCTTTGCTGCTTCTCTGCTTCTGACTTGGGTCTGCTTCTGATTCCTGGGTCCCATCCTTAGCCCCAGGCCCTGACTCCTTGCCCTGATGACATGCAGTTTAGACAGCCCATGGTTAGAAATGCAGCTCCACAAGTTACAGGTCACCTTCCTGAGCCTCAGTCTCTTCATCTGTAAAAAGGGGTTGTGGTGAGGTTGAGTGAGACGACTCATGGTTAGAAGCCAGAAAAGGCAACTATTATTTTTACGGTCATTACCCTGGGCTCCCTGGGGAGTGATCTTGCACAATCTCTTCCCCTCCAGGGGCCTGGGTTCCTGGTACTGAAAACCTAGCTGTGACTATTCGCTGCCACATCCCAAGGCCCCCTGCCTCCCCCTACTCTCCGCCTGCAAGCCAGGTTTCAGATTTCCCCCCATGCTGGGTCCCCGACACATGAACTCCAGGCTGAAGACCTGGAGTGGCACCAGCGCCCCCAGCCCCTCTGTCACCTGCTGGAGGAGCTCTCTCCTCACTCACCCACCCCAGGCCACAGGTCTGAACTAGGGTGAACCGGTTAACTCTGGAGAATGTGCCTGATACAGTCATCCCCCCATCTTCTTCACCCTCTCCCCATTAGGAGCGCCTCAGGCCAGCACACCCTCTTCGCCACCTCAACCATCAGCTTCATCTACAGCACCCCATGATGAAACTTGTGGTTGGCCCCAAGACTGACAGGCTGCCTGATGCATCATTTCTTTGAGGGGTGGTAGTGGCTGGGATTATATGCCGCTGTCTCTGTGAACACTTTTCCCACTTAATAGCTGAGCAAGTTGCTTAAGCTCCTTATGCATCAGTTTCACCATCTGTAAAATGGGGTTACCACCTCCAAGCAGGATTGTGCTCATTTATCCACTGCGTGCTAGAGAGTGTGGCATGGAGGGGGGATAAGAAAGAGAACCTCCCTGGGCTGGGGCCCTGGGCAGGGAAGTGGTGACTCAGGCCGACGAGGGCTGTGGCGGAGAAGTGCTGGAGCCTGTGGGGTGTCACCAGAAAAGAGGGCACTGGCTCAGCCTCAGGTTCTGTGCTGAGCCCTGAACATGACAGTGAGGGCACAAGGCCTGCGACGTGCTCAGCCCTCTCCCTGGAGTCCTCGCTGCCAGTGCAGGTGGCGGCACAGCGCTTCCATTTCTGAGCCCCTTCCCTCAGAGGATTCTGAAATTTAAAATTAGCGAATGCCATGATGGGGCTTATTCGCTGCCAGGCACCGTTCTGAGTGCCTTACGCTTCCGAACTCAACCCTCATAGCAGCGTTTAGAGAAGGTGTTACCATTACTTCCATGTTACGGGTGAGGAAACTGAGGACCAGTGAGATGATGTCACTTGCTCAGGGTGGCACAGATATGGTGGAGCAAGGCGTGAACCCAGACAGGCTGGTAGCGGCGTCTACACCTTCATTCCTCCCATAAACATCTGGCCTGTCTGTGATGCCTTCAAGAGGCTGACTGGTGGGGCAGCCAAGGTCAACTAAACTGAAATGATTGTGAGCTTCTGGGATGGAAAGGCTGGGTAACGGTGGCTTCAGATCCCAGCTCTGCCACTTGCAGCTGGTGACCTCTGTCTAATGACCGCCCCTCTCTAACCCTCAGTTTCCCCAGCTACAAAATGGCCACCTCACGGGGCATCATGGGAATTCAAGTGTATGTAGGCAAAGCTTATAACCCTTAGCGGGAGCCTTCAAGCAGCAGCGTCCTGGCAGGGCGGCGGGGACGTACCTTGCTGATGTCGGGGGACCTGGAACGACTGCCCTCTGCATCGCTGAAGGCTCTGGTGATGGCGAACTGGATGGCCAGGCCAGTCATGGTGCCTGTGGACAGCGGCTGGATGCGACGCACGGCCTGCAGCAGCGCAGCCTTGGAGACGTGCGCCCGCAGCGGGAACTCCTGCTTCACGGTGCTGGCATAGTTGACCAAGCCCACCCGGGTGGCATTGGGCCCCACGTCCAGCGACTCAATGACCTGGGACAGGAATACCTTCACCTTCTCAAACTCTATAGGCCGCACACTGCGAGAGCTGTCGACGACGAACACCAGGTCCGCAGGCCGCGTCCGGCAGAGATGGCCTGCAGCAGGGCAGGAGGGAGAGGGCAGAGAGCAGGGGCACAGGTCAGGGCCGGGCCTGAACACACTCTAGGCCGAGGAGCAGAACACGGCTTCTTAGGTCCAGGTGCGAGGCCTCAGGTCCAGTAGGCTGCAGACATCAGCTGGGCTGGCTGGGTGGGCCCTTTTGCCAACGTGTGGATGCTCAGCAAGCATCTTGCCAAAGCCCCCGCTCAGAAACACAGAGAGCCAAGTCCTGACCTTGGGCTATTCACTTCACTTCTCTCAGCCTCAGTTTCCTCATCTGTATGGTGAGCTGGCAATCCGTCCCTACAGGATGCTCTGAGGAGCCGGCGAGGGCTAGGCACTCAGTGAGTATTCCAGGAGTGGCAGAGGACCCTGCAGCCTTGAAAACATGCTTAGGTTTCAGCCCAGACTTGCTGCCAGAAACAAGGGCAGCTATTTCTCCTGGCTGGGCAGGAGTGCACCAAGGAAGGGCCCTCCGGGCATGGGCACAGCCTTGAGAGCCAAAGTAGTGCCCGTCAACATGGCCTCTTTCATGTGAGCATCAAAGTGAATCACCAAAGTGGAACCAGTTTCCTCAGCCTGGCAGTGCCTGCTGGCGAGTTGCTGAAGACAGGGACAGGGAGCAGGAAATCCTGATGGCCACCTCGGCAGCCCGATCAGGTGCACCCCAAGACACGTCCCAGAGGAGCAGTGTCCCCCAGAGACCCAAGAAGGCAGTGCCATGTGCTGGGAGATATGCAGGGTGGAAGTGTGTTTAGGCCTGGGCTCAAATCCTAGCTCAGCCACTCTGCAGGGTTGGGCAGATCACTGCACCTTTCTGAGCCTCTGTGATCTCACATGTCCAGTGGACAGAATAAATCTACTGCATGACAGTCACTGGACTGGGCCTGCAGTCAGGAGGGGCTCACTGCAAAAACCCTTCCCTCCCCATCCCATGCTAAGTTTGCACTGAGCAGAGCTGATCCGAAGGAGGAAAGCGCAGGGCCATCCCAACCCCCAAGCTGCAGAATCTCACAGTGCACTGGACTGGGACCCTGGGCATCAGAGTTCCTTAGGAGACCTTAGAAACCACCCTGCAGCTGGTTCCCTGCTCTCTGATAGCTAAGGCTACAAGTGGAGAAACAGACCCAAAGAAGGAAAGGGAATTGGCCACACCACACAGCAGTAGATCAGGAGCCTAGAGGCTCTGGGGCTATCTCACTGTGTGGTCTTAGGCCCTCTCTGGTCTCAGTTTCCCCATCTGTACAAGAAGAATGAGCATTCCAGGACTCAGTGCCCAAACCTGAAACTCTGGAGGGTGGTGCTGCCCCAAGGGAGCCCAAGGCGGAAGGACCCACCAAGGGGGCATGAGCTCTTGGCATCCCAGGTCTGCCCTCATCAAAGAGCCGTGGGCTCCACCCTGGGCTTGGTGCAGCTCCAGAGGCAAGCCAGCTTTCTGAATATCTTCTGCTCACCGGAGACCTGGAAGACCACGGTCCCTGCCACATGCATGGTCCCTGAGGGCCGAGGAGCACCCCTGCCCCGACCCTTATCAGCACCACCAGCCCCGTCTGCTCCGGCATCAGCCCGCTGCCCACGCTGCCGCCCTGCTCCCCACCCCATCCTGGATCCCATTTGCTCCCTGCCATCTTAGTACCCAGCCCACAGTGCTGATGGTCAGGGCACATTTGCTCAGTGTCCCCATCTCACACAGGCCCCCTCACCTCTGGACTGGGGGGCGAGGCCAGGGCTGCACAGAGCCTGGAGCAGCAGCAGCAGGCCGCAGAGCACGAGGCTGGGACCAGAGAGGCCCCTCATGGTTCTGGCAGCACGGGCAGCAGCCAGCACAGTGGTGGGGGCCAGTGGGGTCCAGGTCTTATCAACCCCACTGCCCGCCCAGCCTCCGGGTCAGGCGGCCCCCAACTGATGACTGACGTGGGGGCAGCCCGCCCTGGCCCCCAGCCCCCCAGGGGCGGGGCTCAGGCTGAATGGAGGTGTGTGTGCCCTGAGAGGGCGGGAGCGCCTGGCCCGGGCTCCAGAGGCCCCTCCGACCACAAGGCCTCCTTTGCCTGTAGAAGCAACCAGAGCCGCAGCTGGAATTTGGGAAATCTCAGGTGGGTGGAGGGGATGGCTCCTCCAGGGGCTGGAGCCAGCGCTGCCTTGAAGCTCCACCCCAAGCCCCGGCATACCTGAGTCCAACGGCCCAGCCCTGCGCCGTCATCCCACACCCAAATCCTCCCACCCACAACCCCAAGTTTCTCATGAAATGCACTGCCCCTGCCCCGCCTTCACTGCGCCCTGCTCTCCGCACACACCCTGCTCCCCAGCTGCCCCTGGATTCTCCTCAAAGGCCTCCAGGCCATCGCACATGCAGGGCCATCTGCCCAGAGTCCTTACCGCTCGCTAACTCTCTGCCTTGCAGAATCTTTCAAGGTCATAATGAGGGCTAACACATACCTTCACTCAGTCTGGGCAGGGCAGCAGAAACCACGGCTAAGAGCATAGAATTTCTGGAGCCACGTTCCCTGAGTTCGCTATACCAGCAAACTACCTGTGTGACTATGGGCAAGTGACTTCACCTCTCATGTCTCAGATTCCTCATCTGGAAACCAGGCATGGTAACCGTGCCTACTTCCTGGGGTTCAGTCAAGGAGCAAAGGAGTTAGATGAGGTTTCTCAGTTAATCCTCATGACAGCTTTGTAAAGCAGCTACCGTTATTACCTCCATTTCCCAGAGGAACTAAAGAACAGAGAGGTGACGTAACTTGTCTGAAGTCACACAGCTAAGAAGTGTTATTGCCGGTACAGAGCTCCAGGCCCGCGCTCTGAGCCACGCCGCTGTCTCGGTGTATCCTGATGGAGGTGCCTTCTCCATGCGCACCTCCTCCCTGAACGCACCCCTGCTTGGCCCACCTCACCTGTGGACCAGTGGATTCAGCTCTGCGTCAGGCCCAGCACAGAAAAGGCCAAGATAAACCTTGTAAATAAAGAGGCATAACCAGGAACGACCCTTTCATTCCATTAGGGTCCAGTAGTTCGTGAGATAAGAGCAGAAAGAGCATGGGCTTGGCTACCTGAGAGATCCAGGTTCAAAGCTACTTCTGCTCCTAACTGGCTGTGTGACCTGGAGCTGGTGACTTAACCTCTCTGAGCCTCAGCTTGCTATGGTGCAGTGGGAATGGTAGCTCTTGGTCTGCCTGTCTCACTGGGACCATGTGAGGGGCAATAGGAGGACAGAAGGGGAGATGAGTTGAAGGATTGTCATTGCTGTGGGGGCAGAATCCTAAGACTTTGGACCTATGCACTACACTCTGTGTAAATTCTACCTCAGTCAAAGGAAACGTACAGACAAAAAGCGATTGCCGGGCACAGCAACCCGACTCACGGCTACCACACTCTTCAGCACTAATGACAACGATCCCTTCCACCCTTGACATGGCACAGTTACTCACACTACCACTCTGTCTCCTTCGCTTTCCCAATAAACCTGTGAGGTCAGCAGATCTGAGTCTGTTGGCCCATTTGTCAGATGGGGAAACTGAGGCCCAGAGAGGTTCACTGACTTACCCGAAGCCACCCAGCCAGTGTAGGGGCAGAGCCAAGCCTAAAGCTCAGGCCTCATTCCCCTCTGCACCAGTGTCGGAGAAGGAAGGGGTTAAGAGCATTTCCTTCTGACTTTTTCCTTGTACGTTTCAATGTGTGCCTAATTCACAGCACTCCCCAATTCCAAAAACCACTTGAAGCTGCTGATTGCTTTTTCCCCTACAACTTTGAAGTCTAATTCTCCTCCAGAGACTCTGCAGGGCAGATGCACCAATGGCGGTGCCTCTCCCTTCCAAAAATGGTGTCATAAAGGTGTGACCTGTCTCCCCATCTCCCCTAGAGGACGTGCGCTCCCTCTGAGCAAGGGGCTTCCCTGTCTCAGTCACTGAATCCCCGGGACCCAGCGTGGTGCCTGGCAGAGGATATCTGGTGAGCAAATGAAGGAATGAATGAAAAGAACTGACTACAAACCGGTTCCACTTCCCTGTAAACCCCCCAGGGTCACACAAGGGCCATCGATGGTGAGTAAAGGTGAGAGAGGCACAGTGCTGTCCTCATACCATGCCGGAGGTGAACGAGGAGAACGTGAGCTGGGGTCTCCTGGCCAACTGTACCCCCCGCCCCCCAACGCCCTGATGGCTGGGGCTGTGTCCGGGGCTCAGGGCACAAGGCTCCATTAGCTGGACAGCAGCTGGCCCGTGAAACAGCCCTTTCAGCCTCACCTCTGAATGGCAGTTCTGTGGGCTCCTCGGAGGAACACAGACGCCTTCTCTGTGTCGCTTCTCCACTCATTAGCAGAGCTGCAGAAATACACTACAGGTAAGTTTTCAGGAACAGAGATGGGTCCCCCAACCACCAAAAAAAAAAAAAAAAGGGCAGCTTTGGAGTTCTATAGCAGGGCAAGGCCCCGGGGCGGTGGCGGAGAGGAGACCTGGAGGCTCAGCGTATACATTAAGGAAAGAAAATCAATATTTGTGTTTTTAAAATGTGAAACATTTTTCCCCAGGACTCAAAATTGAGAACAGTGTGTCTGGTATGAGCCAGAATAAAAAAAATACACGGACGGGACTTCGAGGTTGCTCGCAAGCCAAACAGGCAGCTGTGAAGGGCTTTGCTGTTCCCTTGCCCTGTTTTCACACCCCTTGGGCGTCCAGAAACTTAAAGCCTTTAGTGTATAATGTGGGAGAGAGAGTTTGTGATCCACAGAGAGGCCTCCGGGCAGTGTAGTTCAGTGGAAAGCACACAGGACTCCCTCTCCAGTGCTCCCAGGAGCACCTCTTTCCCTAAAGAGCAAACCTGATTATCTTGAAATAACCCAGCTAACATAGATGCAACATCAGCCGGGGCAGCCCACCCCCTTCATTCTTCGCCCGCCACCATCACAGTTTGGCTGTATCCACACACGCCTTTAGTAGTATTTGTTTAATCTTTTTGTTTAAATCACTCCAAACCAACTCACTTCTTAAAAATTTCTCTGGGGCCCGGCACGGTGGCTCACACCTGTCATCCCAGCACTTTGGGAGGCAGAGGCAGGCAGATCACAAGGTCAAGAGATCGAGACCTGCCTGGCCAAGATGGTGAAACCCTGTCTGTACTAAAACACACAAAAAAATTAGCCAGGGTGTGGTGGTACGCACCTGTAGTCCCAGCCACTCCAGAGGCTGAGGCAGGGGAATCGCTTGAACCCAGGAGGTAGAGGTTACAGTGAGCCAAGATCGCGCCACTGCACTCCAGCCTGGCAACAGAGCAAGACTTCGTCTCAAAAAAAAAAAAAAAAAACCCAAAAATTTATCTGCTTTCTAAGAAATAATAGCCATGAAATCACTGGTTTGATGTATTGTTTATTTATTCCAATAGACATTCATTCCATATAAAATTCAAATAAATTCAAAACTAATTAAATTTAGCTTTTTCATATACATATCACCAAAAATTTTCTTGTTTTCTGCCAGTGGCATGCACACCAGACTTTGAGGAATCCTGTGAAGTGAAGCAGCTTTAGAATCAAAGAGAGCTGGGCTTGAGTCCCTGTCTGTCACAGGCCAGCGGTGGTGACTTCTGGTAAATCCCTCCCTTTTCTGCCTATTTCATGTCTGTAGCACCAGAACCCTAATGCCAATGTCACAGGAAAGTTGTAAGGAAGAGATACCGTGAATGCTACATCAATGTTTATTGGGTTTTTTGTTTTAATTTTTTTCTTTTTTTTTAAGATGGGATCTCACTCTGTCACCCAGGCTGGAGTGCAGGGGCACAATCACGGCTCACTGCAGCCTTGACCCCCTGGCTTCTGGTGATCTTCCCACTTCAGCCTCCTGAGTAGCTGGGTCCAATTTTTCACCACCGTTCACCACCGTGCCCAGCCAATTTTTTATATTTTTGGTAGAGACAGGGTTTCACCATGTTGCCCAGGCTAGTCTTGAACTCCTGAGCGCAAGTGATCCACCCACCTCGACCTCCTAAAGTGCTGGGATTACAGGTGTGAGCCACCACAACCGGCCAATGCTTACCATTTTTACAACACCTTGCATTGGTCAGGCTAGGATACGCCATGTTGCAATAACAAACACACCCCACATCACCGTGGCTTAATACAGGGTTTGCTTCTCTCTCATGGCACCGTCCAGTGCCAGGCAGGTGACCCCACATAGGCCCTCTCCCAAGCAGCCTCCACCATTTCCAAGTCCTCGTCTCTGGCCACATGGACGAGAGAGAGACGGCAAGCCCTCTCTGAACTGCCTCAGACAAGGAGTACATATCACCTGACTCTACCTGGATGCCCAGGGGCAGGATATGGGCATTTAGTTACCGTGACAGTTTCTGCCACTCTGTCACCATTCCCTGGGGCTGGGGGAGGGGAGCCTTTGTTAGCCCTGTATCACCTCTAGATGGAAATTCAGACTTAGCTGGCATTTAAAGCTCTTCACAGCTTCCTTCCCCTGCCAGGCCATTGTCTCTCTTTCTCTTTCTCTCCCTCTCCTTGTCTCCTGCTATCTCCCTCTCTTCTCTAGGACAAAATGAGTCACTTCTCCTCAGTCCTCAGAGCCTCCCAGATGGACTCCAGCCCTCCCACTAACACCCTATCAGAGTTTGCAGTCAATACATGGTGGCCCATTTTATTTGTGGGGAAATGTGAAACCTTGAAGCTCAGGCTCTGAAGGAAACTCAAAGGTCATCTACACCTGGCCCCCCACGCTCCTCACCTGGTTGTTAAAAATACAAGTTGCATCCCTGCTACAGGCCTTTTCGGGGCCAGAGGGTCAGCCCTCACCCCAGGAGTGGCTGTGAGAGCTTCCCATGAGGAATGC